GTGATCGAGTAATATGCATCTATTGTAATCTTATTTGTCAACAATGGATATCATCCATTGATGATCCATGTGAAGTACATAAAATACTATCACCTAATTGTATATATGTCAAAACAAAATTGACGAATCCTATAGTTTCATCAATAATTATTGTTAACGAAAGTTCAACAACAAATATTGCTTCATCAACATCAAATAATCTCAGTTCTATACGAACTAGTGATATTGTATTTAGAGCATCATGTAATCCTACTTATTCAGAAATACTAAAACGTCAGGCATCGTTTGCTATGTGGCCAAATGAAAATTTACCACAAATAGATGATTTAGTTCGAGCAGGATTTTTCTATACAGGTGCAGCAACCATTGTTACTTGCTTTTATTGTAATGGATCATTACAAAATTGGGGTTCAAATGATAATCCAATGATTGAACATGCTCGTTGGTTTCCGTATTGTGCATATGCTAAACAATTGTGTGGTGAAGAATTGTATCGTAAAATTCAAGAATCTAAACGAATACAACAAAGTAGTTTATAAAAATCATTAATTTTTACTAAAAATTTATTCATTTTTTTTTTGATAGAACATGCTAGAGCTAAAGAATTAAGAGAAGAAGCAGGCTCAAATGATCTGATAAATATTAATGTAACAGCAAATGGTGGGAAATTATTAATACGTGATGAATGTACTTTATCCAGACTGGTCGCTGCACGATTAGACTTATCGATTTCACAAAATTTATTAGATCAAAATTTTAAATTATCTATTATAAAACGATGTTGGAAAGATCAATTACGAATAAAACGTATGTTAATCAATAAACTATTGCTTTACATTTTTCTTTTTTTTTCTTTTTACTTATTTTTATTCAGATGATGATTTTGTATCGGATTGTGATTTATATATTGCTTGTTTAATTCTTCGAAAACAAATCGAACATATTGATGGTAAAAAAGAAAATATTGTTATACCGAGCATAAAAATGAAACAAATAAGAGAACAAAATGGTAAGTTTATTATAGATATGCTTCTCATTTTATGTTCTTATTGTCTAGCGACAGGAATGAGCGAAGAAAAATTAACTACAGCTAAAGAAGCTCAATCCATAGAAAATCGTACAGATGCCGAAGTGAATATATCATCGCAATCATTAACAAGCAGTGGTAATGAACGTGACGTGCAAATAAATAAAACAATAACTAATTTCAATGATCAAAGTCAATCGAATGATTCTCAATCATCGAATCTTTGTGTTCTTTGTATAACAGAAGAAAAAAAATTAGCTTGTATACCATGTGGTCACATGTCAACATGTGTCGCATGTGGTCATTCATTGCGATTGTGTCCAATATGTCGACGAGAGATTGACGCATTTATTAGAATTTACATTTAACAAAAAATATTTTTTCTTTTACTTGATTTTAGTTACCGTCAATGAGTTTTGCATCTACTCGAAATCAGAAAATTACATTTATACTAGAAACAGCTGTTTTTCAATAGTATGTAAAAGCGAAATAAATGTTCATATTGTTGGAAATATTTTATCTTTTTGATGAAATTTGCTAATTTCTTTAATCTTACTTAAACAAGATATTGATATAATAAAAAAATTTATTCTGAATTCTTGATGTTGACGACAAATGATACGCACTGTACTATTTGGTGTTTGCCTGTTATTTTTCTATAGATTTGTCTTATGAAATTCGCCTCTTGAGGGTATGCGATTATATTTTCTCCTTTTTAGCATCCCATCTACATTCTAACTGATTACAAGCAACAAAACGGAATGGTTGCATTTCTTCTTTTGTTTTAAATGATTTTATTAAATAACATTTTATATAGTTTCTCTTCAGTACGAACGGTTGGTTTTTATTGACTTGAGAAAATCACAAGCTCTATTGTTAGTCACATTTTGAATGATTCATTAGTGGATAAGTAGCATATAAAAATATTTTTCGCCATGTCTTGCATCTCTTCTTTGTTCGTTCCAAATAGTATTCGCAGACTGACTAGTCAATTGGCTATATTTGACAGCAGAAAAAGAAAAAGACGATAGAATCTTGTATAAGAAAAATCGTGGTAAAAAAAACATGCCTTGACTATACTCAAAATAATTTTGTTTTTTTTTTCAAAACCTTCATTCAAACAATATTTTACTCGTTTGAAAGAAAAAAGAAGAAGAGAACCGAAATAAATATTTATAAGTCAAAAATCTCTTGCCATTTGAAATGAACAAAAGTTGTCTACACAATGTTCGATATGCAAGTGCTTCTTTCATTTTTCTATCAATCAGATAAACATTGCAAGTAATGAACTGTTGCTTTTTAATTCGAATAGAAAGTCAACTTAGTTATTGACAGTTATTTGTGTCGTCAGATAACAGGTCGCTGACTTAATGACTAGTCCTTAGGATGTGGTTAGGTGGATATGAAGTTGTGAACCTTATTTCTTTGAAATGAATATCATCACACCCACACCTCACACCCAAAACAAACAGTCTTGCAGTATGCACGAGCTCTCGCTAGTAATATAAAAAAAATAAAAAGCGCAAATATCTATTAAATAAAATTGAAATAAAGTATAGTGTGTCGTCAAATGGATCCATCTGCATTTTCAAATGAATTTATTGGTTATGAACCATCTAATTTAATTTCAAATTATTTATCTAAAGGAAAATATAATAAAAAAACAAATTTAAAATTTCTTGAAAATGATCAAAATGAATTAGATAAAAAATCATTTTTATTATTTATAGAAAATTTATCATTATTTAGTTGTTATTATGGAATATTACCAGATCAATTAACAGAAATATATTTATTAACATATTATTTGATTTTTTTTATATAACTATATTAATTTTAAATGAAGATTCAAGATTAGATAAATTAATGAAAACATTTGGTTTACATCCAATAATATATTGGACAGGAAGATTTTATTTTAACTATATTTTATTCATATTATCTTTTATTTATTTATTCATTAAATGATCAATTAAATCAAAATAAATTTCAACAAATTCTTTATAATCACAATATTCAAATGAAAATTTTCTTTTATTCAATTACTTTTATTATATCTGCTTCAACATTATCTTTTTGTTTGTATTCTAGCAAGTTTGTTTTTTTTTTAAATGATAAGACAAAAAAAAGAACAGATTGAAATCGAAATGATAAAAATAAATTCGAAGATAAATCTTATTGAATATGTCTGAAATATATTTATTCTATATAATATAAAATTCATTGATATCTATGAATATGTTTTCTAGAATATATATTTATCTTTGAATTTAATTTTTCTTAAATAAAAAGTCAAATTTTTCAAAATCTTTAATTATCATTCATAAATAAGAAAATATGTTTTATAGAATATCTTTCATATGAAAGAAATTTCGAAAAAATTTCAATAAAATCAAATATAAACAAATAAATTATTCGAAATTGAAAATAATAAAAATTCATCGAAATTTAGTCTATTTTATATCGAAGATTTATTGAGATTTTCGTTTTTTTTCCAAAAAAAAAGAATATTGTTTAATATGATATTTTGCTTTCTAATTAAATATTATGAAAGAAATTTTATTTGATAAATAAAATAAAATAAAAATGTTTTGGTTAAGAAATAAAATCGATAAAACTGTATGATAATTATTTAGAAATAATGAAAAATGATATAATTTCTGGTTTATTTATATTCTTATTGTTAATATTAATTGAAATATTTGTTTTAATTCATAGAATAATAATAATAATGATGAAATATTCAATAAAATTAAATAAATATTATTGATTATTAAATATAATATTTTCATCATTAAATGGAAAACGTTTAATTGGAATATTATTAATGAATGTATCAAAAAATGTTTATTATTTAATTGAAAATGATAAATATATATTATCAAATATGGGTTTATATAAATAAATAAATAAAAATGATTTATTAAAAACATATATTAAGTAGTTTAATTCAAATAATATTATTTTTAATTGATATAAATATAATTGAATATAAAATAATTAATAAAAAAGATAATGTTGATGATGATTATTTCAATGAAGATGAACTTGATGATAATGTTTAAGAAGAAAGAATTAAATTAAAATCTCTAATTGATTTCTCATTATATCCAATTATTTTATTTGGTATTATTAAAAAATATCGAAATCAACAATATCCAGCTATAAATCATCTTTCTTTTTCTATTCAACAAGGAGAATGTTTTGCACTTATTGGATTTAATGGAGCTGGTTTAAGATTTTTCTTTTTTTATCATTTTTATATTATTTTGTTTTTCTTTTTAAGGTAGAACATCATTATTTAAAATAATTGTTGGTGAAGAAAAACTTACAAATGGGTTCAATATATACCTCCGGAAAAAAATACTTAGACTTTGTATTTTAAATATATTTTCACTATAATGTTATACTTTTTAATAAGTAATTACATATTCTGAAAGCCCGTGGAGTTTTCTCTTATACTATATAATTAGGTTATAGTTTAGGTCTATTCATTAGCAAAATAAATTGAATACAATGAAGGCACTCGCATGTCCAGATTTCCAAGGATTTGATTCTTTCACTGTGATCAAAATTAGTTTTTTAAATTTTTTGTCACTATAGAATTATGTTTTTAAAAAAGTAATCATATATTCTGATAGATCTTGAAATTTTCTATCTTCCTATATATTTGTTAACTGTTTTGCATTTACGTATTGCAAAAATAATTTGAGTGCAATGGAAAAATTCTTAATCGACAAGTACCAAAAATCTATATTTTTTCGCTGTCTTTTTTTTAATTATTACTGCAAAGAAATAGATTATGTAAAAGAAAGTACACCATTTGATAGCGCATGAAATTCTCTATCATTCTATATATTTTTGTCTTCCCTTGCATTCATACACTGAAGAATAGTTCGAATATAACGTAGGTACCCTCTCTTGGCAAATTCTAAAAAATCCGGATTTCCTAGTAACAATTTACTTTTTATTTCAACTTTATTAGGGCGTGGATGTGGGTGTTTGAGTGAAAAGAGCTACACCCACGCCCACACCCACAAGTATCCTCTTTACTTTGGTGAAAGAATGTGTGCCTAGCTAGTGTGGTTGCTGAGAAAATAACAAAACAAAAGTGTCCTTAAACTTTTGTCTATCACTTTAGAAAGTTTAGAAAGGAACTGACTTTCGATGAAAGTAGGATGCATCCGTCAAGAAAAGCGTGAACTTTATGATTCTTTTACTTGCAACATTTCTAACATTGAACATCAACAATGATGCTTCAATGTTTCATTTCTCTTCATAATAAACAAGCCACAATATATTTATTATCGAAACGATCATTCCTCTTGAATGTTATGTACAATTATCAAATCTTCCCACATATGAAGGCCTTACTATAGAAAAATGAATGAGCTTTGCATAAAAGAAGTTAATGGTGTTATTTGTTGGAAGGATGTAGTGAACATTTTTACTTGAATCGCACCGAAGAACAGGAAAGAAAAATCACCTATTGAAAAGTAAATATTAATTTTAAATGAACTCACAGAACAGAATACAAATAACAAATATAGGTGGCAGCTAGAGGTGAGAGTATAGAATGATCAAAATAAAATTTTGTTGAAGAACTACTGTGATCTTTATCAGCCATCAAAAATCTGTCGTTTTTTTCTGTTCTGTGAGTTCATTTTAAAATTATTGGTTACTTTTTGAACAGGTGATTTTGTCTTCCTGTTTGGCGATGTGATAAAATAAATATGCTCAAAGAGTTTCATTTTTCTTTCAACACCCATTGTCATATGAGTTCATCCTCATGGCGACAAGACCACGTTTGTACGTTCGTAGTCAAGCTCGTAAAACAAATTCTCCTGTTTCAGCTTCATATAAACCAGATGTACTCGTTCTGCTTGATGATGAAGCTAATTCCAATTTTATCATCAGTCATCTAAATAAAAAGCCAATACTTCATTTGTCAAGAAATCGTGTTACTAGACATTAATGCTCTGAATCAATATTATCGATCGCATGGTAATTCTGATAAATGGGTTTATTTTATTAGATCAGATTCGTTTAGAGAGCAACTTAAACAATTAAGCAGTACACATGATAATTTTTATTTGATTCTTACTTCTGAGTACATTCTTGCTTTAGAAGGAACTCGCACTGTATGGGATGAAGAATTTAGAATTTTTCATGATGAAGAACGACTTGTAAAAGCATTACGAGATCATCTCAATTCATTTCTTACATTAGATGAAGTCGAATTATCAAGTCAAAGTGTCTCATTACAGACACCACGCTTTGCTTGGTTTCAATTTATGTTTGCATTACTTTCAGATCTTGAACGGTCGGATATAGGCATGCAAGAAGTCATTAATACGTTTCGTATTAATTATAAATCTGAACCAGACATAATTGAAGAATTTATTCAAACATATTCATCAGAAAAGGCTATGGAATGGTGTATGAAAGATTCGTTTTTTTTTGGTCATGTTAACAGCATATTGCGTAGTAAAAATGTAAAAACTATTTTTAGTCATCGAACAATTATTCGAGATATAGAACAAAATCTTATTTCATGGTATTATGATCAACAGCAAGTGTGGGAGTTCTTTTTACCAATGAATGTTTATCGTGGTCAAAAAACTTCAAAACAAGAGCTTAAATCGTGGCAATCTAATATTGGTTCCATTATAGCAATGGCATCATTTCTTTCAACAAGCATGGATAAAAAGATTGCTAATTGCTTTGCGGAAACATTTGATAACGATGATAATGATGACGAAGCCACATTGTTTACTATTTACGTAGATAAAAATATAGCACCCAAAGCTACTTTCGCTTATTTATATCATGCTGATTGTGAACCTGATGATCATGAAATTCTTTTCTCTCTTCGCACACTGTTTCGTATTGATAAAGTTGAATATGATGATTCTGAAGAAACATGGTATGTCAACATGACAGTTGTAGATGTAACTAATGAAGCTGTACAGAGAGTAATAACACCATGGAAAACATTTATTTTAAAAGAAAAAACTTCTCTTCAATCGCCCACTAAGCTACTTATTTATGTGCGTGATTTATCAACGAATAACGAAGCTTTTCTTTCTTTTCAGCTCGCATTTGATATAATACTTCGATTAGATCGAAATGATTTTGCTCGTCAAGAAATGCTTTCCATGTGTCGCACAAAATTTCAGTCATGATCGATTTACATTAGCAAAAATTGATCGATTTGAAATGAACTATCAATCTGAACAAGATGCAGTGAAATGGTACACATATGATAGTTTTCTTTATCGTCTTCTTAATGAAGTTCTTCGTACTGAAACAGTTGACCATATTTTTAAATTGCGTTATTATATTCAAGATCTTCATAATCAATTAGCTCTCAAGCAAGCTGATTATTTAAAACGATTACAAAGGGATAATACATCCATTTTAAAGTTGTATCGCGGTCAAGTTATGACGAGGAATGAATTTGAAAATAATTTTTGTGCTAACAAAGGAAATCTCATATCAATGAATAACTTCTTATCAACCACAACAGATCGTTACGTGGCTCGATTTTTCGCTAGCGATGGCAATGTTGAAAATCTGGAAACTCAGATATCTGTATTATATGAAATTGAAATTGATACTTGGTTGCCTCACTCAGTACCATTCGCTGAACTTGGTGATCAGAGTTTTTTCGAACAAGAAAACGAAGTACTCTTTTCGATGGGAGCTGTTTTTCGTATTGAAGAAACATGTGAAGAACATCGTTATTTATGGAAAGTGAAATTAACTTTAACTACGGAAGAAGATGAACAATGGAATGTTTTAACCGAACATTTATCAGAAGAACAAAAAATGGCTAATCAAATCAGTAGACAGACATCAATGTTAAATGAAGAAAACGAAGATATTAAGATCATTCCAATCGCTACGAATAGAAAAAAAAGAAGTCGAAGTTTTGATGATCGTCATTACTCGAAACGTGAGTTTCGTCGATCATGTTGGTCAGAAACTTTTCGAATAAGAATGAATCGACGATTCAACGAACATCCTGATTTTCAATTAAATCATAAAGAGATTTAATTAGATCATTTATAAAAGCCTTCGTGGTTTTTCTATAAACATACTGAATCACATGTTTTAGTTGTGTGACTGTGATATTTTTTTGTACTTCTTTCTCCACTAATCATATGAATGCAGTCTCCATAAATTAAATTACTTTTCAATCGGGTTTGGGCGTGGCGTGTGTAAATTGATCGAAAACAGATCCATCTATATATCCATCATACAAACCAATCAGTTGTCTGTAAATCCTGTTTAACAACACTAGATCAAACTGCAAATAGGGTGTGGGTGTGAGTGTGGGTGGGTGTGGTGTGCGTGTGGGTGTGGGTGGATGGTGGTGTGTGGTGTG